GATCAATGCCCAAAATTTGAAAATTATGTGAAATACATGTTGAATGTTCCTTATACTAGTGATGTAGGTTCTATTATGTACTTGATGGTGTGCACTAGACCTGATTTAGCGTATTCTATTAGTTGTTTGAGTGAATACATGGCTAATCCGGGTGTGGAACATTGGAATGCTTTAAAGTGTGTGTTTAAATACTTGGTTGATAATATTGATGTTGGTTTAGTATTTGGTAAACACATTAGTGAGTTAAAACTAAATGGCTATGTGGATTTCAATTATGCGAATGATAGAGATTCTAGGAGGTCAACTACGTCGTATATCTTTACTTTGTGTGGTTCTTGTGTTAGGTGGAAATCCCAACTACAGCATATAGTTGCTCTTTCTACGACAGAATTTGAATATGTAGTTAAAAGGTTTATTAAATGAAATAGGCTATTTGAAAAATGAAGTAATAGTTTTTTCAGATAGTCAATCTGGAATCCAACTTTGTAAAAACCCAGTTTTTTATGATCGAACCAAACATATAGATGTTGGGTTTCATTTCACTCGTGATATAGTGTCTAAGGTTTTTTTAAAACTAGAAAAATACCTTATGAATATAATCCTGCGGACATGGGAACTAAAATTTTTTCAATAACAAAATTCAATTTGCGTAAGAAAACAGTGTATATAGATACTTTTTATTAGGAGAATCTTTGAAACTTGAAGGCTTGTATCTTTTGAGTTTTAACATTCTGTTTTCAGCATGATATATTTAATCATGTAGCTGTTTGTGTGGCTATTTTGTTTAGTTTTGCAGTTGATTTGTTTTTTATGGCTATTTTGTTAAAACTTGAGAATATTAACCGTAATAATAAGTCCGCAGGTTAAAAGACTGAAATCGTTGGAGCTCGGACAGTGATGACACCCTTTAAAGCACTATCTCCAATGCCCAAAAAGGTGGAAATTTGTGATGTTTTGTGCATATTACACTTCGACCCGACCCAGCCTATCGAAACCCGGATCCTGTGCTCGCGGTTCGACCCGATTGAGTGATGAATTCGATGATGGGTTCGTTTGGCCTGAACCGCCCTCAAACCGGTCCAAGTGGTCTTAATATATATTGGTTTCCCCGGTTCGCTGAACAGATTGATTCCTCACTCCTTCATATCGCGATCTCACTCTCTGGAGCCCTAACTTTCCCGACGAACGCGATCGACCTGTTCTTGGCATTCCGGCGAGTTTGGCCATCGGAACTTGAAGTTCATCCATCGTGGTTGTATTTCAGCTAGTCCTAAAGCTGTTCTTCGGTTTGATTTCTCGATTCTGCCTTTATGTACTATTCGTGTCGCGATGATTTAGGCTTAGAATCTTGAGATTTCTTTCGATTAGGTTGTTAATCTCGCTGATTGTGCGTTTATATGGATGTCGGTAGCATTTGGGTTGAGGTTGTGGGTATATGTTGTTATTCGGTTGGAACTCTGGGTAAACTAAGTCCGAACTCCGTCGATTTTGAATATATAAAAGATTTAATGTTCTTTGGTTTATATGTGTTCGATTGTTGTTAAACTACCAGCACTAGGTCCTATTTTCGATTACATATATTTTAATGTAGATAAGTATTTTTTATCATTTTTTTTTCTATTCATCTAAAAATGATTTATTAAAACTTATCCAATCAAAATAGGGATATAAAGATTAAAAAACTGTAAAATTAAATTCTTCTATAGTCCAAATAGGTGCTTAAACTTTTGGACACATTTTAATGTAAATGAGTACTTTTTATTATTTTTTTTTTCCGTTCTTACTTTAAAAAAAAAATGGATCATTTTTTAATGGCAATAAGAAAAGATAAATATAAATGTTTAATAATAAAGAGAATATTACTTAAAAACTATAAAAATAAATAAATAAATGAATAAATAAATTCCTTTCAAATATACATGAATTTCCTTTCCAATTTAAAAGTATAATAATATTTGTACATTGCTATTAAATTTTTGGTCTTGTCCAGATAATTTCGTTGTGGTACGTAGGAATATTCATTAATTTCATTTGATGCTTCATATATAATATTGCATTATATTTAATAATAAAATCAAGAATATTATCAGAATATTCTAAACGGACCTAACAACAAAATAAATTAAGGACGGACAGCACAATGCAAAATCAAATCTGCACATAAAAAATAAAAAAATAATATAAAAAAAAGTGCACATATAATAAATATATGTGTGTATTTTTTGGTGTCGATTTTCATATAGTGATTTCTTTTATTAAAACGATGTTGATATGAGATATGTTATTTTATTAACGACCATATGTTATAGTAATTTAAAATAAAAAATAAATAAATCATATCTAAAATTTATTAAATAAAATTATATTTACTATAATGGAATTGTAAGAGAAATATGGGTGTGTTTTTTTTGATGAGTTTGGAAAAAATTTGGTTTGAATTTGGTATGAAAATAATATTTGATGAGATGTTTTGTGAGATGAAAAAATATATTTTTTTCAATAAACGGCAGAATCCAAATAGTAAAATTTGGAAAAATATTGCTAAAGAAACATATAATACTTAGGATTTCATATGCCTCATTTTATACAATGAGTGCTCATTTGGCTTGATTTGAAATTGATTTAAAATAATGTGTTATTATTTTAAAAATATTTTTGATATAATATTTTATTAGAAAAAATAATAATTTCTCCGTCCTATAATAAAATATCTATTTTTCCATTTTAGTCCGTCTCATAATAAAGTATCTATTTTATTTTTTAGTAACTGTACTACTATCTACCTAACATTACAAATACCCTTACAACTTACAATATATTACGCAAATGTCATTATCTTTATACCACACATACTAATAAGGTTATTTTAGTCATTTCTACTTTATTCCTACTGTATCCCAATATAATACTAATATTTTTAAAATTACGTGCAAAAAGCAAATAGATATTTACTTACGGGACGGAGGGGGTAGTATATTTTTACTAAAAATCATAATGATAAATAATACTTCTTCCCTTCAATAACAAAGTATTTATTTTTTCATTTTAGTCCGTCTCATAACAAAGTATCTATTTCATTTTTTAGTAATTGTACTAATATCTACCTAACATTACAAATACCTTTAAAACTTATAATATATAACGCAAATGTCATTACCTTTATATCATACATACTAATAAGGTTATTTTAGTCATTTCTATTTTATTCCTACTGAATCCCAATATAATACTAATATTTTTAAAACTACGTGTAAAAACCAAATAGATATTTACTTATGGGACGAAGGAAGTAGTATATTTTACTAAAAATCATAATGATAAATAATACTTCTTCCCGTTCCATAACAAAGTATCCATTTTCTTTTTTAGTAACTGTACTATCTACCTAACATTACAAATACCCTTACAACTTACAATATATTACACAAACGTCATTATTTTTATATCACACATATTAATAAGGTTATTTTAGTCATTTCTACTTTATTCATACTATATCCAAATATAATACTAATATTTATAAAATTACGTGCAAAAAGCAAATAAATATTTAGTTATGAAACAGAAAGAATATTGATTATGATTATACAATCGAGTTACGTTTATAATCACTCGCCATATTTATAAACTTCAATATTCTAAAATTTCTTTCGTCTATAACAAAAAATGTATTTTATTTAGCTGTTAAAAAAAATTTTTAAAAAAAAAAAAGCAAAAAAAATGACATCAATGTACATTGCTTAATAGAGATTAACGTTTAGTATTTACTCTCTCCGCCTAGCATAATTATATGTCTTTTTTGTGCTAGCGGGAGAATCCATATTCTACAAATAGTACTGTTTTCGCCTCTGTTATCATGTTCTTTTTATCATATACATTGGAATTTTAAAAAAATATAATTAGTAAATAATTAAGAATATATTAGTGAAAATAATAATTATATAATAAAAATTTTAAAAAATTAAAATAAAATTAAAGTGAATAAGTAGAGTCTTTCAGTGGCATGTTTCGGTCAATAAAAAAAATGACAAAATAAATAAGACGGACAATAATAAAAAGATGGACATAATAAGTGAAATAGAAAACATAATATTTTTGTGATATAATTATGCATGACGGAGACAATATATATAGATCCTTTTGTTAGCATACATATGTATAATAGAGATAAATAATATATATACTCCGGCGACAGCTAAATTCAACATTGTGTTTAATAGCATACTGTGTGTTACAAGACAGTACACTGTGTTATCATAAACAACATACAATATACTTTAATATAATACAAATACAACACATAATCTAACCACACATGATATAGTCTCACACAATACATACAATAGTTGATTTCAACAAATGACATTCTCTTATACAACACACGTTATAATTATGAACTAACAGCACATGCTTTTATTACAAACAACATATGTTATAGATAATAAATACGTGTATTGTTTCTATATTTTACATGTGTTGATTTGGAGAATCAACATGGTGCTGATTTTCCAAATTCTAACACCCGGCATTTTCCATATACTGCTATATAATACTCCCTCCATCCCAAACACCCTGCAACATTTCCTTTTTTGTTTGTGCCAAACTTACTGCAACATTTCCAAATTTAGAAATAATTAATAATATTTTTATACATATATTAATATATACTTCACTTCATCCCATCACATCACTCAAATAAAAAAAACAAATAATCATTTCTCTCTCCAATCACATCTCTTAATATCCAAATTATCTCAAATTACCATATTTAATACTTCCCACCTAAATTATCGTGCCAAACACAAATGTTGCGCGGTATTTGGAACGGAAGGAGTACAATATATATATATAATTATAAATATGATATTATATTTTTTTTATATATATAATATATATGGCCTATTTTATTGTATATGATAATTTGACGCAATAATCTGAAAATTCGCATATATTTATATATATATATGAAATGTAACATAAGTAACAACCCTAAACAAACAATGAAGCAACCACTAGTGCAAACCACCAACGACGACACAAAGGTTGTCCTAATCACCGGCTGCGCCAAAGGCGGCATCGGCTACGAGTACTGCAAGGCTTTCGCCGCCCGCGGCTGCACCGTCTACGCCACCGACATTCCCGACCGCATGCCGGACCTTGCTGACCTCACCTCCGACATCATCGCTGGCAGCGGCGCCGTCCACGCCCTCGACCTTGACGTCTCCTCCGACGTCAGCGTATCCACCGCCGTCGCCCACATCCTCTCAAAGCACGCCAAAATCGATATCCTCGTCAACAACGCCGGCATCTCCAGCACCGGCCCTCTGTCAGAGTTGCCGCTAGCTGCCATCCAAAAGACATACGAGGTATATTAAATAATTATTTTACCTAAAAGTTTAACTTTGTAATAAAATATTCTTCCGTCCTAATTCAAATTAATGCGTAAAACGTAAATGAGATTTTTAGAACCGGATGAATCCAATATTAATTAAGTATTATATGTTCTTACAACAAGGTCAACGCCCTCGGACAGCTCCGGATGATCCAGCAAGTCGTCCCCCACATGGCGGCCCGGAAGTCCGGCTGCATAGTCAACGTCGGAAGCATCGTCGGAAAAGCCCCGACGCCGTGGGCCGGGTCGTACTGCGCCGCCAAGGCCTACGTCCACGCCATCTCGCACGTGCTCCGCGTGGAGCTCCGGCCGTTCAACGTTGACGTGGTCCTTGTCCGGCCGGGAGCGGTCCGGTCCAGCTTCGGAATCAACGCACTGAACCGGCTCAAGGATTATGAGTGGAAAATGTACGGGGAGTTTAAGGAGGCCATCGAGGAGAGGGCCCGGGCGTCGCAGGGCGGGAAGTCAACCGCCGCCGGCGAGTTCGCCCGCCACGTGGCAGGGAAGGTGCTGAGCCGGAATCCGCCGAGGACGGTGGAGTACGGACACATGACGGCGCTGTTTAATTTTCTGTCGTGGGCCCCGCTTTGGGTTCGGGACATGTTTTTTGCTCGCCGGTTTAAGGTGGTCCTCCGATAGAGCTGTTGAGGGGAATGGGATCCTACTTGGGGAGCCCTGGTCTTGGGCTCCCGGAGCGTGGCGATGGACACTAGTTATGATTTACTACAGCATCTTATTGCTATATTTTTCCAAGGGGTTTGTTATTTTGATTTATTTTTTGTTCTCATTCTTACATAAAAATAAATAAATAAATAAATGGGCAAGAAATTTTAATAAATTGATGAAATCGTATGGACTTACCGTTGGGTCGATTTGTTCTTGGGTTGGAGCTCGAAATAGCTAATTGGACTCCCTTGCGGGTGCACTTGTCTGGTTCGTGACAAGGATATACATTCTTCGGGTATTAATATCTCAGTTGATCTTTAGGATAAAAATAAAAATACACATACAAAGTTGTATATTTTCAACTATCTTTGTCGTTAGTATAATTAAGAGTACGCATATCTTCAAGATTTTATCCATAATTTGATTTATAGAATGCTAAACCCATTTAATTTTTTTCAACTACATGCACTTTGGGTAAACTTTCAACCAAAATTTACTAAGGGTGTGTTTGTTCGAGGATTTGGATTTTGAGTTGGGATTTGAATAGTAAAAATTTTTAATTTAAATAGTTATATTATGTGATATAAATCGGTGTTGATGTAATGTTTTGAATGTAAAATTGATTTTTAGTATAATATAGAAAATAAAAAATAGATGTTTGATTTAATATTTTTGGAGGGAAAAAATGGGATGAATAGTGAAAATTAACTCCAATCCCCCAAACAAACACACCCTAAGTTTGTTTGGTCGTAGTTTATAATTAATTTGAAATTAGATGTTGATTTTAATAGTATTTGATGTTATATTTTGTAAGAGAAAATAATACTACATCCGTTTGGCTTTAAAGATTTCATTTACTTTTTACATGTTGATATTTGAATATTAATTATTATATCAAAACGTAATACAAATTAAGAAAATATTGCAAAAATACTTCCATTAGTGTCTTATAGTATTAATATAAGGACATTTGTATAAAAAATTATACAAATATTAATATTTTTAATGTTAAGTACAATAATACAAAAGATAAATGTGATCCTTATAGATGGACGGAATAAGTATATTTTTATCAAAAACCGTGAAAAATGAATAATGTTTCAATTTTCTTGTATAGAAGCACAGTTGACCTGAAGCTTTTTTTTTGTGACGTTTTTCACTTCTATATAGTAAGTGTCTCCTTGTATAAGACTAAAATAAGTATTATAGGATATTGAAATCCGGAATCATCCCTATGCCGTTGATTTGTATAATTCCTTATATTGTCATACAAATTATACTAATTTGTGTATTAAGTCCACAGTGAAGAAAGATTAAACAGTAAGAGCCATTTGAATTACGAAAAGAAAATCAAAGATTATTGCGGAGCTTGAAATTTGCTAAAATTTCGATTTCAGATTACTTTGTAGATTTCTGTGTTGTGATTGTTTTGTGGCTTTTGTGTTTAGTACGATCATAAAAAATTAGATTTTTACATGGTTGTATACCCGATTGACTATCTAAAAAATCTATTATGTTTTAAAAGACCTTTTAGCAATAATAATTCTTTTACGGATTCAGTAATAGCAACATATTATGACTCCATTATAGAAAAAGCTATAATATGTTATAGTTGAGATTTCCAACTAACGCAAGATCTACATAACATAAACAAGTACGACAAAGTAGACTTCCTAGTGCCCTTATTGTTCACATAGTTAAAATCAATATAGTCAATTAGTTTTATGTCATTTACATGTCTGTCAGACACTAAGCCTACATCAAAATACCCACAAAGTATCTAAACATACACTTAACTATATTCCAGTTATCAACTCTAGAGTTAGACATACAGTGGTTAAACTGATTCCAAACTCAGTTTGCTTTCGAAATATATAAAAGAATCTTTAGTTTTCTTTTAGTTCTTATAGTTTTGTATGATTTTGTGTAAATAGCAAGCTTTCAATCTTAAAATTAGCATAACAAATTTGAAAACAAAAGAACAAATCTATATGTAACTAACAAAATCAAGTGGCATTGAGGAGTTTTGAACACTAAAATATTTTGCTAACCTAAGGAAGTCTAATTTAAAACTATAATACCTTTTCTCCCAAATATTTTATATAAAAAAACGTGCTTCAAATATTAATTTAATTTAATATTTCATTGCTTATTTCACTATCACAAAAAAATAAATAAATAAATAAAAGAAAAAAACAATTTTTACTTCAAAAAATAGTTTCAAAATTTGATTCGGATTGATGCCCGAAGACTAAAACTCGTTGTCATTTTAGTTGTTTCGGAAATTCTAAAGCTACCAAATATGAAGTTACAGATCCAAGAGCGCCGGAGAAGAAGATGATGAAGACGGAGGAGCTGCTGCCGCCACCGTTGCTGCCGCCGAAAAGAAGAAAAAGAAGGAGGAGGTTTGTTGTCGCTAACGCCGGAGAAGAAGAATAAGGAGGAAGACGAGATTCCGCTGCCGCTGCTGTCGCCGCCACCACTGGAGAAAAAAAAAAAAAAAAAAAAAAAAAGAAGTAGAAAAATGAGGAAAGAAGGAATTGCCGCTGTCGCCGAAGAAGAAGAAAAATGAAGTGCCGCTTCAAAAATTTCCGAATCTTATAGTAATAGTCACAGAATGGCCTCGGACATTATGTATCTTCTAAAATAAATAATATTATATAAAAAATATTCTCAAAATTTTTTAAACAAATAGAATAAAAATTATTTAGTATTATTTATATTTTTTTCAGTAATATCGAAATTGATTTCGAAGCTTTTTTCCGAAGTTCATTTCTAAAATTCTAATAGTGTTTTTTAATACTACATGGAGATTTTTTATTTTTTTCTAAAGGAGGCAAATATAATCAAATATATTTATTATATCAATAAAAAACCATTCGATAGTTTTATATAAATTGCATGTTTGTAAAAAAATAAGTTGCCCAATCAAAGTATGCTTCAAGTAACTATAATTTATATCGTAGTATCGTTAATAAGGGAAAAAATCTTAATATAACCAACATATTAATTATTTAATAAAATCTTTCACTTTCAATCAAGCTTTAAATATAATATTATTATTTTCTTTGTAACTTTAAAAGTCCACTTAATGTCTAATAAGGAATAATTAGGTAGTTTAATTAAGAATTAAATTTCGTGTTTTATTAGTTTACACTGACTTCATTGTTCACACATTGTAATAGATCATTCGATTTTATACATATAAAAAGGGTAAATTATATAACACCTCATTATGTTTTAGTAAAAATGTAAAAAATACCTTATATTTTATTTATTGCATGAAACCTTTTTGTGTTAATGTAAAGTTTGCACGAAACACTCTTCTTGTCCAAAACTGATATTTAGTTCTAAATAAATACTTAAATTACGCAAGTTTTATACAAATAAAAAGTGCAAAATATCTTAAATAATTTTTATTGCATTAATAAATAAATAAATAATTTATTAATGCTTCATTTTATAGTTTTTAGAGACAAATTGTTGTCTTATTTTTATAAAAATTATAAAAATAAATGATTTATCAATTATTTATTTATTTATTTTATTCAAAAAATATATATTCAAGATATTTTACGTTTTTTATTTGTATAAAACTTGCGTAATTTAGGTCTTTATTTCGAATCAAACATCAGTTTTGGACAAAAAAAGTGTTTCATGCAAACTTTTCATTAACACAAGAGGGTTTCACGCAATAAATAAAATATAAGATATTTTGTGCATGTTTAGTAAATACAATGATGTGTTATATAATTTACCCTATTACAAATATGATTATACACTTATTAATAGTTGAAGTACAATATATATATATATATATATAATTCAACACACAATAAATGTCCTACAAAATTTGAAAATTCTTTGAGGCACTAGTTGGCAATGTTACTATAAATTTTATTTAATCAATAAGTTAGATTACCCTTATTGTACTAAATTCTAAAATTTAGGAAAATACTAACAATACATTATATAGCAACAGACAATATATAATATATAATTTATGTTAACATACAGTAAATAAACTAACAGTACAATGATATAGAGCACATTCAATTATTTGATTTCAATACAAAAAAATATATATTTATATATAATATACTACATATATAATTGACAGTACATATATTTTATTTAACACAATATATGCATATATTGATTGTGACAAATAGCACTATATAACTAGGGGTGGAAATAGGCCAGGCGGCCTGTCAGGGGCCTATGACCTGGCCTACATCAAGCATGGTCTGGCCTGTTGTATTTATTAGAAAGGCCAGGTTCAGATTTTTGTTAAAGCCTGTTTATATATACAGAATAGGCTTAGGCTTATGAAAAAACCTATTTACTAAACAGGCCGGTCTGTTTAATAATAATATTATTATTATATAAAATTATTTTTTATTATTATAAAATAAGAATAGTTTTATATATAATAATGATATATAAAAAAAAATTTAATTATAAATTTATTTAAAAAAAACAAAAATAAAAATAATTTTTATCTCAATAAAAAATTTCAAATATGAACAACTACTGCACACATGTTCCTTTTTTTGTTTCTTTTATCATAATTCAAATATTATCCCGCTGTAAACTGAACAACAACTGTCCATATTCCTTTTCCACCGCTGCAAGCCTGCAACTGCTGCCAGACCTCCACGCCGTCCAGGGTTTTGCAATCTTCTTCACAGAGAACCACTACTTTTCTTTTTCCTTCTTCTGTCTTCATCGCCTCTTCTTTTTTATTGCTACCGGTGGAATTTGGAAAAATAAGGTAAATATCGTTTTTATATGTTTTTTTTCGTTATTTTTATTTAGATATGAATTTCAATATATATATTTTTTGTTTTTTTGTTATATTTTATTTATCTTATATATTTTTTTATGACGTTTTTTTTGTTTTTTTATAACGTCATTTTTTTAAAATAGTTTTGTTATTTTTATTTTTGTGTTTTATATTATTTAGATTAAAATGAAAATTTTATATTTTTGTAGAAAAATATAAGATATATATTTACAAGAATGAACAGTTTCTGATATTTTCGTTTATAATGTATATCATTAATTAAATAAATTTTTTTATTTATTTTGAAGCAGGATATGGCTTCGATGGATGAAACAAATATTTTTGATCTTCCATCTGATACACACAATAGTATATCAGTGGATTCCCTTTCAAGCCAACCTGTGGATGATAACAGAAATGAAGACGAAAGGAATTCAAATTAAGCAAATGAAGGTGCCAATAGGAAAAAAACTTCAATTGTGTGGAATGACTTTGATGAAATTCAAGTTGCTGAAGGTGTTAAGAAAGCTATTTGCAAATACTGTAAAAATGCATTTGCTACTGGGGGAAGAGGTGCGAGCACAAGCCATCTAAAGAGACATTCAGAAGGGTGTTTGCAGAGGTCAGTACAAATGGCTTCACAAAAGAAACAATGTGTCATTCCTTTTAAGCCATCCAATTCAAGTAATCCGTTTATAAGTCCGGGGTTTAGATTTTCTAATGAAAAGATGAGGGAAGTCATTGCCACTTCTATTATGGTACATGAGTATCCTTTTAGCATTGTAGAAGACGATGCTTTTATATGGTCATTTCAGTATGCGAACCCTGAATTTCAGAAAGTTTCTCGTAAGACGATACGAAGTGATTGCATAGCAATATATGAAGCAGAAAGAAAAGCATTGAAGGAATTATTAAAGAGTGTGAGCAAGATTAGCTTGACAACAGATATGTGGAAATCCAGTCATCAAGTGATTGAATATATGGTAATCACTGGTCATTTTATAGATTCTGGGTGGAAGCTTCAGAAAAGGATTTTAAGCTTTGTCAAGGTGCCTGCTCCAAGGCGAGGAATTGATGTAGCCAATGCCATTTTCAAATGTTTGAAGGCTTGGGGGATCGAAGATAAAGTGTTCTCAGTATCAGTTGACAATGCTTCATATAATGACTCGTGCTTGAGGTATCTAAAAGACTACATATTACGCAGCACCAAGCTTGTCCTCGATGGAGCTCTATTTCATGTTAGATGTTGTGCACACATATTGAATCTTTTGGTGCAAGAGGGCTTAGTCGAATCAAAGATATCATCCATAATGTTCGTGAAAGTGTGAAGTATGTAAACTTCAATGATTCAAGATTGAAGAGTTTTGGTGAAGTAGTTGAACAAAAGCATCTAAAAGAAAGGAAGTTGATAATTGATTGTCCAACAAGGTGGAATTCTACATATCACATGTTAGCCGCTGCTTTAAAATTCAAGATTGTCTTCTCAGAATACCAAGAAAGAGAACCTCATTATACATTTGCACCTTCAAATGAAGATTGGGAGAAAGTCGAGAAAGTTTGTAAACTTTTAGAGGTTTTCAACTTAGCTACCAATTTAATATCTGGAAGTGAATATCCTACTGCCAACTTGTATCTTTCAGAGGTCTGGAAAGTGAAGCAAGTAATTGATGATGCGACAAAGGATGATGATCTTTTTATGATACAAATGGCAACGCAAATGAAAGAAAAGTTTGATAAATATTGGGGTGAGTGCAATCTATTGATGGCTGTTGCAAATGTATTGGATCCGAGAGTTAAATTTCATGGTGTTGAAATATGTTTTCCAATGATATACAAGTCTGAAGAAGTTGCTGCCGAGTATGTGAACAAAGTGCGTGCTTCACTGCAACAACTATATAATGATTATGTGGCCTTAAGTGTTGAAGAATCATCCTCAAGTCAGTGCAATATGGCTAACATCTCCTCTGCCACCACCCAATCTGAATCTGCGATAGTTACTGGGTTTGATCAAATTATGAGTCTTGTAAGAGCAAAAGAAGCAATTCCTGTATCAAAATCTGAATTGGATGCCTATCTCGAGGACAGTGTTTATATTCCTGATGGAAATATGTCTTCATTTTGTGCCTTGGAGTGGTGGAGGAACAACAGCATGAAATATAAAGTTTTATCGAAGATGGCTGCTGATGTACTTGCGATTCCAATATCAACGGTAGCTTCAGAGTCTACATTTAGTGCTGGAGGTAGAATTATAGATGAATATCGTTCAAGATTGAATGAAGAATCTATTGAGACACTAATTTGTGGAGGAGATTGGCTTCGACATAAATACAACTTGAAAAAAAAGAAGGTAAATTTTATTATTAACTGTCTTTTCTTTATCTTATTCATCACCCACAATATATTTTTTTCTAATAAAAATATTTCTCTCATTTGAAGGTGAATGAGTCTTTGAAGGAGATAAGCTTATAGATTAAAGAAGTTCTTTAATACTTTGGTTGCGGTACGTTTTAAATTTATAATATTTTCTGAAATTTTTTATACAGATTAATTGTTTGAAAATCTGATTTTTTTAGTAAGATATTGTTGTTGCATGATGTATTTTGGGAGGATTCAACTTTGATTTTCTGAAATTTGTTGCAGGATGTATTGTTTGAAATATTTAGATAGGTTTGCAGGTGGTTGTTTTGATATTACAATTATTTATTTATTTTTTTTAAAATATTTGGATAGGTTTGCAGGTGCTGAAATTTTAAATTTTGATTTCAGGAGTGGAAATGCTAATGTCCAGAAGATATTATTGATCTATTTGCTATTTTTCTCTTGAAACTTTTATTGTATTGGTAAGTAAGATATTCCTTTTTTCTTTTTGTTCTAATATAATTTTTTGATGCTTTGCGTAATTTATATATAGAAGGAAAAAATTTCAGATATAATACTAATTTGATCAACTTTTGTACTTGAACAGATTTAATGGTTTCAGAAACTTTGGGGGAATTTGCAATTCTTGTGGCTTGTGGCCTGTGGGTGACGTGAACTTGAAAATCTATGTTATTAATTTCTAAATATTTTTGTCGAATTTTTTAATATTGCTTCTGAGTTAGCGTTGCTTATTTCTTTGTTAGAACAATCAGCTTAATGACAATAGATTGATGTAAACTGTTTTTTTTTTTTTTAATGTCATTATGCAGTAATTTCTATCAGCTTTTGTCTGGAGTTTGCAAGACTTATTCCGAATAATTATATATATATTTGAATGAATTGTAATATACGTTTTTTTGCAAATTATTAGTATAATATATTGTATTTTTATATGGCAATAAAAATGATTATTTTTGTAATGCCCCGATTTCGGAATGTATAAAATAATATTATTATAGCAAATAAATATTTGACAATAGTAATGGAATCAAGAAATTAATATTTTGGGATAAATTATATTCCAATTTTGTATATTAGTTATAATTAAATAGACTGTTAAATGGATAAATATCGATAAAATTAAAAATAAATATAAATATAAATATAATATATAATATATAATATATAATACATATATATAATAAAATGTAAAGATAAGGATGATAATAATAATAGCGTTAATAATAATAATAATATTATAATATATTATAATATAATAAATAATATAATATAATAATAATAATATAATTATAAATGTAAATACAATCTTACCTACGAAGGAAGGAGAAGGAGAACGCGCAGGAGAAGAAGGCAGAGAAGAAGAAAGAGGAAGAAAAAGAAAAGAAGAAAGAAAAAGATTTAGCCGATCGATTTCGATTCCGACTTTGGTATTGTATTCTTCGTTATACGTAGAATTTAATTATGGATTTTAATATGAATTTCGATATTGGGAATATTAAATTAAAAAAAATTCTTCAAAAATCCATAACTGGATAATTGGCTATTTAATCGACGAATTTCTTTAGCTAATAGCCTATTCGTAGCGCCGACGTTATATTTTGAGAATTTCGTACCAATCCAAGTCGAATAAAAAACGGCAGTATATTGCACCTGCCTGCTTGTTCATACCTTTGCGTATTTTTATTTAATAATCGGGCAATATAAATATTATGAGGTAGAAGGATTTTATAGCTAGAATATCATATTCTACTAAATATAAAAGTTTGGAGCCCGACGAGTTAATTATAGAAATTAGCTTTTGAATAAGCAGGTAGCTCCTGAGAATAAGCATAAAGCTCATCTGATTTGAGTAAATAATGGGACAGGTGTACGTTGGAGGAGATTTGGGTGAAGTTATAAAATCCAGAAAGTATCGGTAGGAGGTAAGCAGTAGGGAATTAAATCTAATTTTAAGAAATTAGGTATTTATGTTGCATGTGATTCTGATTCTGATATTGATATGATATTATGTGGAATCATTTGGTCAGTGCATCTATATATGTATATATGTGTGTGTATATGCATGTGTGAAACTTCGTTTTACGATATTTGATATACGTATTTGATCGTGTTGGTGAATTTATAAAAAGGAGGATAGGTGGGCCGTCTCACCAGCCCTTTTCATTAAATTCACTTATTGACATGCTGCACACATCGCACGATTTATCGGATATGTTTTATGGATCTATCGTTTAGTCGCCGTGTGCGGTAGTGCTAGGCGAGGGCATCATCTGGGGTTAGGATATTCGACCCCGATGTACCGTAACACTTTGGCGATAGTGGACGATAGTAGTCGGACAACTGGGTGACTTAGTCGCACGGTCATTCAGGGATTAGACCCATTGCAGTTGAGACGTGTTTGGTCTAATCATTCGTGTTCGGTGTTGTTCCACTCATTGGAGTAGCTACTAGTGAGGTCTACCGGTAGTTTAGGATCATATGCCAAACTCCAAACGCGATCCCGTTAGGGCGTGCGAGGAGGAGTAGAGTTTCCGGGTTTCCTTCGGGTGATTCCAGGTTGCACGGATTCTACTACGTTACACGGGGTAGGGCTAGACAGGAGGGTCCTATCTTCGCTATCACAGACTATGGGGTGTCTTGTGGTTAATGGCGACAACGCTCGACTATCCATGTATTGATTGCGGGAGTCGTATGGTGGGTATATGGGAGTGACCGGGTGACCGTTATATTATTATGGGTTTACCAGGTCCTTCCTTGAGCCGAGGATTTTCCGGCTATTTATTGATGATAGTCTAGTGAGCCGTTATTATGGAGCCGAGGTTATTCCGGCTGCTCACTTTGACATATGTATATGGGTATATGTGCATGAGTTGTCGATTTTGACATTATTGTTACATTATTTCAGTATGGACATGGCATGGCATTTATTTTGCAAATGACGGAAATTAAACTCTATTTTCGAGCATGACATGGCATATTTTATGTTAGTTCTTAAAATGGATTTAATTCTAGACTGCTTTTAAGAAAAATATTTGATTCAGGTACGCATGGCACCTCCGGGACAGGGGACGTCTCGGGAGATAGAAAGACGGGCTGAATGAGTGAACTGCATCTGATGTATTATATGTAAATTCTAACTAGAAAAACCTCCCGTTTTGGGAGTATGTTTTTGTAAATATTTATAAACTTGTTTTTTTGGAAATAATAAAATGCTTATATAATTAATTTTAGCCTTAACACTGTGTTGTGGGGCCCGAAGTAGGAGGTGACGACCTCATGATGCAGTGTGGCGGTAGCATTTCCAGTATGAGCCAACTGGGGGTGTTACAATTTTTGTCATTAAAAAACAGAATTTTTTATTTTTTTATATATAATATAAATAATTGTATCTGTTTTATTTTTTATTTATAGTACGAAATTTACAAAAAATAATAATAATAATAATAATAATAATAATAAATTATTATGTAGCCTTTTAAACAGGCTCGTAGGCCAGACCAGGCTTTTAAAAAGGCCAGGCTCAGGCTTTAAAAATATTTTTTTTCAGGCTGGTAGACCAGGCTCAGGCCATATCTTTTTAAGACAGGCCAAGCCTATTTAACCAAAGCCTAGCCTGGCCTGGCCTATTTCCACCCCTATATATAACCATCCTCAATACACTAATAAAAATAAAAATAAATAAATCTTAAAGTTTGACTCCCTACATAAATTACCCAACCAATAATTTTGATCCTTTAGATTTTTTGTCATATCAAACATAATTGTATCATTATATTTTTTTTTTCTCCCTTTCTTTATATTATCTACTTATAGAAAATTATGTATTGTATTATTAGGGTGAGATATTTATATAAACCAAATAATTAATATAATATCGCAATTAATTAATTAGACATAGAAAAAATATTGAATTGGCATGAGGACCAAATCTTGAAGCTTGAGGAACATAGAAACATATAAGATTTGGTACTTTATTTGAATGTCACAGCCACAAAATGGAATTTATTAATTCTTTAATTAATTATTTTACAATCACTTAATTCCAAAATCGTGTCTCATTTTGGTTTATAAATCACAATCAAAGAAACCCACCCTGATTAAAGCGACTTGTCCACAATGATACAATGCAATGTCTTCGTCAACTATGTACACTATATTCAATATCTTTATATATATATATATATCTTAAATGTAAATTTATATTTTATTTATGTTTAATCAATTTATCGAAATAATTCGATAATCACGTCGAGTCGAGGTAGAACCTCTTTCCGTAAAAACGAATACGTCCTGGTAGTGCCTTCGGTTCGTGGCACAACGTTTCCAAAGATAAAACGACGTTCGTCTCCGAATTAGGTGGCATCTCAATATTTCGGAGCTCTGGCGAACTAAAATGAGGTGAACTAATACTGTGTCGGAAGGCTTTAAAAGAAAGGAAAGTAATAGGCTGAATGCGACCGGAATATTGATTGGAAACACACCGGAAAAGTCATCGGAAATAATATATATTAGAGAGAGGAGAGGAAGAATTGTTGTGTATTCGAATGAGTTAGTTAGAAGCCTTTTTATAGGCATCCACCAAGTGAGGGATTTAAAGACAAATCGAAACGTCAAGCCGGTTATTGCAATTTAATTATTTGAAAATACATCCATAACCGGCCGAGTATTCATTCGTCAATTCAAAATTTGAGGGATGGTCTGGTGGTGTAGAGATTGAATTTGTAACTGTGAGGTCATGGGTTCGCCACACATGGTTCACCTAGTTTGACTTTCCCGTCAGAAAAATAGATTAAATAAATCCATTCTTTTTTTTTTATCAAACTCAAGTCTCAACCTATGACCTCAGATCTAGTCTGGGCGAGCGGCCCGCGTCAGTGGCTTATTGACATTTTTTTGCCTAAGCCATATTACAACGTTCATTTTTCAGCTTATATACATTTCAACTCACCGAATAATCAGTTTAAAATATTATGAATTCAATATAAATTAAATTTCATTGATTAAATAAATAGTCGATTAACCGATTATCCAACAATTTAATACTTATTATTATCTTTATTGTTATTCATGATCGTATTCATCCATTACTTTAGCCGCGATCGTACAATTATACATACGTTAAATTTATAAAATTATCGCAATATTGAACTTTGTCGTGACAACTTTTGTGTAGTTCAACGTTAATATCCAAAACCCGCAAACAAGTTATACTATTATTGCATGTAAGTTTATGATCATTGTGATTATTGGAAATATAATTTACCTATATGAATCTATCGAAATGGTTATTTATATATTTTTCTCCAAGAGTTGGTAATAACCTATAAGTTAAGCATATAAATTCAAAAGCGCTCATACTATGTCTTTAGAAATAAATGTTACATAAAGATTTGGAGTTTTTTAGTAGTAAAAGATCAAACTTGAATAATTATTTGATAAGATATAAATAAATATTGATGCAATATTTTAAATATAAAACTGATTTTTAGAGTAATATAAAAAATAAAAATTAATTGTTTGATCTACTTTTTAATAAAAAAAATAAAAAAAAAAATAAATGAACATAAAAATCCGGTGAGAAATTAAGAAGAAATATTTGATAGAATGAAGCTATATAGAAGAGAAGTGGTCGTCGTCGACAATTATATATAATTAACAAATATATACACATAATTCGTCCAGCAGCATTGTCTGAATCGGTGACTTCACTACCAACTATATTAAATATTCTTACCCAAACACATATACTCCGTCCTATATATATATATATATATTTAAAATATAATTATACATTTTAATTGCATTTTATAATTTTTTAAATTTTAATTAAATTATTTATATTTTAATTTTAATCTATAATTATTTTTATTATACAATAATTATATTTACTAATACACTTTTTAATTTACTTACTAATATAATTTACTTAAATTCTCGTGTATATAATAATACGCTGATATTATATGGAAAGGAGGAAGTACAATATATATATATATGTATGTATATGGTGGTAGCCTAGTACTGTACCATGTCTGTGTATCATTATGTCATGTAACAATCACCTTCCTGTGTCTCTCCACTCCACTATTAATTTTCAAATATATATATATATATGTATACATATGTGATATAATTATTTGGCCACTCACTCACTATTGAGTTGAATGCAGCAATTCATCGAACATGTCTATGTGTGTGTGTGTGGGTGTCATTCCTCAAACCACACATCACAAATATATACTACTGGTAAGAGGCGGAACCAGATTCGGATGAAAAGGGGGCTAATTTTTTAAATTTCGAAATGATCATCATCTATTTGTTATCCAATAATTTTATTAATAGAGTTATTATATTTCAAAAATCTTACAAAATATCAATCTACAATGACAACTATATATTACCCGATGAATTTTATATTATATGAAATTGATAAATAGTAAAAACATTTATTAAAAAAAAATAGTTTTTAAAAATATCCTCTCCCGTATATTTGGTTGAAATTTTTTTGAAGATTTTTCTTTTTTTTTTAATTATTATTTATTACTTTTTTATTTATATATATTTTTATAGTATTAAATAATTATTATGATATAAATTTTTTTTATTATTCAAAATTTAAATTAAAAATTTAGATCTTTACGTAAATACTTTATCAATTTTTAGTAATTTTTTAATTTATTTATTATTTTTTATATTATATATTATAAAATAAAAATAAAAAATAAAAAATTAAAAGGAGGTGAGGTGGGTGCCGCATACATCTGCCCCTGCTACTAGTTTCTAGCCGATGCAAATGGATTATTTGGATTATCTGGGTTTTATAATAAATTAAAAAATAATAATATTTTATTAATTAATAAAAATATATATATTAATATTATGTGTAATGATATATTTGTAATTTATGTAAAATTAATATTAATGTGTGATTAGTTTTAATACAATAGCTAATGAATATTTTTGAATTAATGTAAAAAATAGTATTTATTCTTGCGTTCTTGGTAAATTTTCTAGTAAACCTAATACCATACAAACTAAATTTAACAAAACAAGTCATACTAGACAAATCATATGTGACACGTAAGACCTGAAGGCATTGGGTTTGAACTTAGAGAATATTTTCATATTCTTATTTAGTAAAAAGTTATATATTTTTGCATTTATTTTATTATAAAAGAAAAAATAATAAAAATACACACTTACACTAAAATTAGTAGAAAAGATTTGAGCACTTTTTAATTACTTGTTAATTATATTTTACATAAATTTTCATATTTACAATTGTTAGATTTAGATATCCTCTTATTAAATTTAGATATTTTTTGATATTATTTGATATTCTCTATCTTACTTTAGGCTCGAATCCACTAGTAAAACAAGGACTTATTGTTACTTGCTACATTTTCAATTGATTTTAAATCTTGTAGCAGTTGACCAACTAGTTGAGCCTAGATTTGATGTTACTTTTTCTTCTTCTGGTGTGCAGGTTCAGGATCACGTACGGATCAAATTTTTGGACAGGTCGAAAAATGAGTCAACTATTTGAGGTAAAATCTTTGAAAATTCTTCCCAGTAATTTCTCTGCTACTACTACTTATACCAAACTTACTACCTTCTTTTTTCCTAGCCTTCAAAGGCATATTTGTTACGGTTATGCATTTTCCTCTAAAATTCAATCTCTCGTTAGTAGTCATTTTGGTTCTATTGGTTTTGAGTCATTTAATTGCTTACACTTTCATTTGGGAAAAGAATCAGTCTTATATTTTTCAGAAAATATGTCGTTCGCAAGTAAACCGTTTTTTTTGTTTCATTATGATAGTTGAGGTCCTTCTCATGTTTCTTCTATGAGTGGGTATCATTATTATGTCATTTTTTTTTTATAGATGATTACTCTCGTTTTACATGTATATATTTTTTAAAACACCGCTCATAATTACCTCAAACATACATCCAATTTGCCCAAATGATTAGAACTCAGTTTTCTTGTCTCATACAAACTCTCCATACTGATAATGACCTTGAATATAAAGATTCTACATTGTTAAATTTTCTCTATGCTCAAGGTACATTGATTCAGCGTTTTTTTCCATACACCTCTCAACAAAATGGTCGCATTGAGCGCAAACATCGCCACATTCTATATATTGTCCGTGCGTCCCTTTTGTCTGCCCCTTGTCCTTATAGGTTCTGAGGGAAAGTTGCCCTAACTGTTGTCTATACCAAAAATCGCATTTCATCATTTGTTCTCCATAAGAACACCTCTTTCGAGCGTCTGTATGGTCAGACACCCTATTATAGTACCCTTCGTCCCTTCG